CAACAACACTTTTCGATAATAAGAATGAATTAAGAGATAAATATAATCCAACTACAGAATGGCCTATAATTGGCCCAGATAAAAATTATTCGTTCAATTAAGGAGAAGGGTTTGCGATTATTATTAATTAACTAACTGCCTCTAACAGTTATCAGCACTTCACTAATATCAACTTCCAGAGGTGCCTCTCTGAGTTTCACTTTCTTCTTGAAAGTACTTAGAAAAATTACCCTACCCGATAAATTAACAACTTTCGCGAAGTTGTTCCTTTAAGGTTTTTCGTAACTTTTTCTAACCAACTTGATTAGTCTCTCCTAATTTTTGTTCTGTTTTTGTCGCAAAGGTCGACCGGAACGTTCGTACCTTAAGTCTATTTACCCTTAGTTTTAGTTAGAGATGCCATCCCCTTATAAGTCTTAGCATTTACCTTTATGCCTCCTACGCAACGTTCCAGTTCATAAACTCGGCATGATCACATTAATTTAAATGCCAGGTTCCAAATGCCAATCAAAGCTATGCAAAACAAATAGCAAATGCAACTTCAACTCAATCCAAGCTATATTTACATATCAACATTACCAAGGACTTTATTTAACGTTCCCGTAACTTTTCCCGTCTCCCACACTTAGGGTAAATTCACAAAGGACTTAATTTCCTAATTATCATAATCCAAAAATTCCCATGCATAACCTATTCAAATTTCAACCTAATCGTCCTTCAGGTTAAGCCATTCCCCCAACTAGTGTCCAATTGAGCCAAAAAAAACATCTCCCAGAAGCCAATGGAATATCCAGTACATTTCTAATATTTATGTTAATTAATTCCCTATTCCCTCTGTCATATTGCCAAATTAATATGTGACTACTTTTCTGTGCCATTGACGCATTTCTATTAATAGTTCATTCGCCAAGTCAAAATTTAACCCAATGTTTATTTAACTAACTCGTATTAAATCCAACAATATACCACTATACATTAAGCCAAGATATTCCATCGAATTCCAGGAAATGCCTAACTAATTTCCTATGCACGCAAATTGTCACCCAATATCAATTACATATCTCTATTAACTCCCCTGATTACGAGACATATGATTTGGGCTACTTTCCGGTGCTAATTTTAGGGGTTTCGGGGCTAAAATTCCAAAAGGTCAAGTAAAGGTCAACCCGGGGTCACCCGGGGTCAAGTCTCCCATAATCGGTTCGAGGTCACATGGGGTCGTACCTACCAAGTTTCATCCATATCCGACAAATACTTCTCAAGTTATCCCACTTTTAAGGTTCGTTATCACTTTTCCCGGGAAAGGTCAATTAGCACCAGAAAGGTCAACCGGGAGCTGAGACCTATAGGGGTCCTTTTTACCGGGGTGGGTTATACTACACATATAAGCCATGAAATCGATATGCCCTCGCGCATTATTTTTCGCAAATAGCCCATTAACACCTAAAAGGGGTGATATTCCCAAGTGCTAATAGCCCGTGCCATTGTCACCCAGTAGGGTCATCATCCTAATATACGATAGACCATGTCACTATCTACCATCCCTCCAAGTTTCAGCTCCCTAGGGTCATTGGGGGTCGAGAAGTAGCCTCCGGGAGTCATGTGGGGGTTTGTTTGTTTAGGGCATAAATCGGGCCGGGGTGACCTTGGAGATCTGGAATTCCAAACTTAAGCTTCCCTCATCCAGGGCTACCACATATTTAAAAATGAGCTCAATCGGATCATTAGTTAAGGGTTTCCGGTGGGGCCATTTGCACTTCCGGGAACCGTTATCACTCGGCCCCCAGGGGGTCAAGCGGGTCCGGCGCTTTGCATGCCCGGGTCAAATCATCTCTAGTATCACTCCATTAAATTTCATAAAGTTCGCCCTTATAGTTCCCGAGTTGGGGGGGGGGGGGGGGGGTTGGCGGGAGCTATTGCATTCACTATTTTCACTAAAGAGGGGGATTAATCCCACGAACTTAATTAAACACGAGTTTAATTCAATCTTAACTTAACTATTTCATTATTTACCAATCAGTCATTCGGTAGCGTTCTAAACGGTTTCTTCATCTTATTACATATTATTCGATTTATCATGGATTTTGAATTATATACCCAAATATCCCAATATCTCCACGCTACCCCGAAAGAACGACGGAAAATACCCCCCGGCCTTGCCCGAAACAAAAGAACCGCCTTCTGCCTTAGAGCGAAGAAGTATTCCCTCGTGGATGGATACCTACGCCGAGATGGGAAAATCGTTCTCCACAAGCTTAACGTCACCCCCGTGTTACGTAATTTACATAGGTCAACCTTAAGTCATCGGGGGAACTCTAACGATCTACACCAAGAAGCGCGATCGCAGTATTTCATAGAGGGAGACCTCCGTGATGTCTGTCGAAATGTCTGTTTCGAGTGCATTAAATGTATTGAAGCCCGGATGATCCTATCTGACGAGGTTCCTATGCGACATTTATCGTCCAAGACTCGCGAACGAATATGCCGGACGATTATGACGCCGGTGAAGAAAGCAAAGGGAAATCGATCGCATAAACCTCGTGTCCCTGTCTTCGTTGCCGGGAGAAAACCTATCGCCACCCAAGACTGCGATAGTGCCAACGTCAACACGCACGAACCCATTACGATCGAAGGCGCTTGCACTCTTTCTTCTTGTTTATTGGATTGCCTACATTACCTTATTACCGGGAGAAAAGTACAGTCGTACCGCTTGCAACGGACCTTAGAGGATCAGCAATTGCGTGAACGAGGACGTTTGGATTCGTTCTATTATCCTTTTCACGATCCCAATGCGACGTTACTATCACGTGGGGTCATTGATTCCGACATGCACCTGCTCGCCGAAATGCTCGGGGTACATATATACGAGTACCGGACCGACCTAAGTCCCCCGAAATGGAATTACGTCGCGGGGAATAAACACGTTCAAAACGAATCGGAAGCTATTTACCTCCAGTATTGGCAGCAACATGAGGGGCCCCACAAAGGGGAAGGGCATGTCGCAATTATTACCGGAATGCATCCAAAACCTACATAGTTTTATTCAAAATCCCTTTTTACTTGAACTTTTCTTATTATTTCAAATATCTTCATCATTCTCATCTTGGTATTTAATTTCGACCATTTTGGGTCCCTATTATGCACATGCTTCGATTCGTTCGTCTCCGACAAATATTTACTGCAAATATTTGCTGGATTATAGGACGTTCGATTTTGGGCTGTGCGCATCATTCCTATTTCATATCTACTACATTCAAGTTACTTTTAAACGTGAGTAATTTTTGGTATAAACTTTCAATAATTTGTTTTGAATATTTTGTAACCTGTTCTTTTAGCCAAACTTTTCATTTAACTCATAAAAAGTCCCATTTTGTCCTATTTAGAGCCGAATTTCCCGTAAAACACATGGCCACCCAATCTCATTTCGTCTGGGCCCTTCAGTTTGAGGAGGGGGAGAACGCTACCCCCTTCTTTTGGGGCAGGAACCAGCCCACAGAACTCCCCTTGCGAATAAAGCTAATGAAAGTGGCCGCATACCTCGGCACACACCGCCACATCTCTGACATCACTATCGTCTACTTCAAGTATGGAGTAGAGTGCGAGATGACCGTACCGATGAATTCAACGGAGGCGTTGTGGCTCGCAAATCAATTGAGAGATTATGGGGGAAAACTTCCGGCCGAGCAAAATGAACTGGCCAGGGACATTGGCGAAGTCCTGTCCCTGGTTTCGATTTCTCACTTCGGGCCAAATACCGCTTTTTTTAAAACCCCTAATTGATACGTATATATCATCATGCCTGTAACTTATAACTAATAATCCGGATATCAATTCAAGTATCTATCTGCGTTTTCCGGCTATATGAGATCATAGAATTACATATTCTACAATTCCGAGTAATCAATATTTCAACAGTTTCCAATTTTTATCTCCATTAAGATCGCAGCAGTTGAGAGAATCTGGAGCTGGAGTAGGCAGATTGCGGCCAATAAAAGGGTCATTGCACAAACTCAACGAGTAAAAAAAATGCGAAATATTGGGATTCAACTGTGGAATATTGAGTAGCAATATTAGCATCGAATATTCACTGCACGCACAAGACAGACAATTCGTTGAATCTAACTTGTGTTTCATCTTAGCATAAAACAGGTTGTATTCCAGTGCCTTGGTACACGAAGATAAAATAGCCGTTCCACTCCCTCTGAATTTAACACTATCAGACATCTGGCTGCAATTGCAACTCACTTAAGTCATTCTCACTAGCTGGTTGGAGCCAATTAAATTAACACAGAGGCGAAGCGGAGCTTCGCAACACTTGCGATGCAAAACACACATTGTGCTACAAAAAAGTGAATGAAAAAAGGACAAGTAAAAAAAATCGGAAAAATTATGATGGAAAAATTACTTGAAAAAATAACTTAAAAAAGTTGAAAAATTACAGCAACAGAAACTTTTTATTTGTATCGGATGAAGTTCATAAACAACCTTTAAAAATGGAAATTAAACTTAAGGTCGAAGCCTGTTTAGCCGACAACAAAACTGATGTCATAAAAAATGTGGTACGATTAACGCTTTTACGACCCATCCAAACCTGAAACACATAACCCCAAACCGATTTATTTTGCCCTCGAAATTACGCAAAATAAGTTAACTAAGTCGATAAACATTAACTGAAACTGTTTGAGTATACAAAAACAAACGAAAAAATCAAAATCAGACATGGTAAAATTGCAAAGTTTCATTTTTAAGGAATTGAGCATGTCAGAAAAATCCTCTTGAAGTTAAGATCCCGTGTCTTAAGTTATTTACGGGGGAAAAAGTTCTAGTACCCGATTGCAATACCCTTGCTTATCGCGAGGGTTAAAAAACTCCAGCTATGTAGTTGAGTTGGTCCGTTTTTGAAATTGTGGGAAACAACAAGTACATATACTTTCAACACCAATTAGCTTTCGTTTTACGCTTTTTTGCCAGCTGTTTCGTTTCGCTTCATATAATAATTGTTCTTTTCAAAATTTATAGCACTACAATTTGATATACAGTAGAAGATTGCATCTAGGTAGTATTAAACTATACACCACAGTTTATAACAGCGATTATTTCGAAATTGATTTCAAATCTACATCTAACTGGGGAAAATTGAATACAACTCAAAAACAGAATAACTGTCATCTCCTGTCACTGTCATCACAAGACGATTGATTGCAACTTCATGAGATAATACTTCGGCTTAGTGAGCTGACGGCTAGGATCCCGTATGGGGAATTGGTTCGCATATTTGGAGTCCACAGAGAAGCTGTTTGTCGAGTAGTTCGTTCTGGAGGAACGAGTAGAGCTTGAGTTGGTCTGAGTCGCTTAGACTGACTGCCAGGTTGTGCAGATTGTACTGTCCGTTGGTGCCGATGAAGTTACGGATGTAGACGTACACAAAGGATCCAGCCAGCAGCTGACAGTCGAATCTACACAAGAGAACATGTTTGATCCAAATTCAGAAGGACATGAAATTTATTACAAGGAAACTTCAACCAATTCCAACTCAGCTCTTAATGAAACTTTAAAGGGGTGGATTTCTTAAATATCTGTGACTTTTTGCCATTTGATGAACAGTTCATTTTCAATTGTTCACTACACTTGAAACAGTGAATCATTTGAAACAGTAACAGATGCTTTGGCACCTGAATATTTTCGAACATGAAAAGGAACAGCGGTGAAAATTTTGTTTCTAAAGAACGAATAATTTGACTCATTTAATTGTTTACTCGGCAAATAACATTACAAGCATCAAAGACCCACACAGGCCAAATGCGACACTTTCTACTTGTCATATGAATTAATTGACTATTCGATCGATTAACTTCAGTTAAGATCAAGAGCGAAGACATCACAATCACGATCACCAGTATCGCCACCACCACTAGCATCATCACAATACTATTAGACACAGTGGCGAAGCTGCGCTTCGCAAACACAAGCGAGGAAAATGCAAAAAAGAGCTCTAAACAGGCAAAACAAATTAAAATAAGGAAAAGATTAAAAATACACCTGGAGAAAAAACTTCGAATATCAATTTCGAGATTAGGAGTATCACGTTCTCACATCTACTCCACGGGCGCTTGTAATTTTACTAACACTAGCCAGCAATAAAGCAGCAAAAATTCGAGCAAAAAATATAACTATTTCAATGTTCCGGATTTGCATCCCCGACCTGATGATTGCAAAAAATGGACTTTACGCAACACCATTGTTATTTCTCTGTTCGAGTGAAAAAAAAGCTGACTATTTAAAGAAAATTAATATTCGCTCTCTCTCTATTGAATTCTTTATGTCAGAATTTGCTGAGTAGTTTTCCAAAAAATGAAAAAGATTCCAAAAAACGATCGAAAAAATCAAAACTATGAAATTTCCTAAATCCACAAACTTTCTCTGCATGGTTTACGCCCTGACTTTTCGATTGAAGCCTTATTATTATATTTAGCTAGTAATTTTTGAGAATAGTGATGAAACTTCTAAAAAAAAGTAAAATATTTAAAAAAGGATTTACCCGAAGTCCATATCGGCATTTCTACAAAAAAAATCGGGTGAAACAGATTACGCAGAGAAAATCTAAGAACACTGTTAACTTTAATTAAGGACTAACCTCAGAATTAGCAGGTTAGTTTTGGAAGAGCAGCCACTTTGTCGATTGGTTCCATTTTTAAAAAAAAATGGAAGAGCAGCCACTATGTCGATTGGTTCCATTTAAAAAAAAAAAAATTCTGTCGTTTTAAAGAAAAAATGATATTTCTGCGAAATGAACAAAAAATTTCCTAAGCGTCACAAACAAACAAGAAAAATTAATAAACCCTAAACATTTTCATAGGAACTGTTTTTTTTTTCAGACAGGAACTAACACTAGCCAAAAATAAGCATTAACACCTTCTATTAAAATGCTTATGCTTAATTAGGCTTAAATATGATTAGCGTGTAACTCACCTCCGGTGCTTCAAATTTAAAAGAACTCATAAAAAAACTGCAAATATTGGAAATAAGATCTGCATCCTTTGAAAAGTACTCTAGTAGAACCCATTAACAGGGTTGGTAATTTCAAATTTTGCAAAAGCGTTTTTTCTGCAAAATTATTTAATTCTAATTTTGAAAATCCATGAAGTTTTGTGAAGTTTTTTAAATGTAAGTTCGTTGAAACTTTTGAAAGGACTTAAAAAACGCCACATCGCGGACACCAAAGCAATTGAGCAATCGCATTTGGACGCATGATTTGCAACTCCTGAGAGTACTCTCACAGTACCCAACTACAGCGTTGGGATTTTCAAACTAGGAGAAAACTTTTTTGAAAAACCATAAACACCATGTCTCGAAAACTTCAAAACTTAAGGAGTCTTATTTAGAGGCCAGATTCGTAACCACTGAGAGCACTCTGACAGCTCCCAACTACAGGGCCAAGAAATTCAAAATTTGGAGAAAAAAAATTTAAATTTGTTCTGAAATTTTTTTTTGAAAAAATCACAAAAAACGTCTTATCTCAAAAACTACAAAGTCATTTTTGGAGGCAACATTCGCATCACTTGAGAATACTCTGAGAGCCCACAAGTACAGGGTTGGGAATTTCAAATTATGAAGAAAAATAATTAATTAAATTTTCGGAAAATTTTTGAAAAAATCACAAAAAACGTCATATCTCGAAAACTACATCGATTTGAGCAGTCATTTTTGGAGGCAACATTCGCATCACTTGAGAGTACTCTGAGAGCCCACAAGTACAGGGTTGGGAATTTCAAATTATGAAGAAAAAAAATTAATTAAATTTTCGTAAAATTTTTGAAAAAATCACAAAAAACGTCATATCTCGAAAACTACAAAGATTTGAGGATTCAAACTTGGAGATAAAATTTGCAACTCCTTGGAGTACCCTGACAGAGTCTAACTATAGAGATACGAATTTCATATTTTTATATCTAACTTCTTTGAACAAATTTTTAAAAAAAAATAACAAACGTCACATCTCGGAAACTAAGAGCATTTGAGCAGGCACATTTGGACGCAAAATTTGCAATTTTGATTTTCTGAAAGTACCCTTGCATTACTTAACTACAATGTTAGGATTTTCACACATTCTGAATATTTTTAAATCCAAATTTTCTGAAAATTAAAAAAATATATATAAAAAACTTCATATCTCGAAAACTACAATGATCCGAGCAGTTATAATTGGAGGCAACATTCGCAATTTTTGTATTTTGAGTTTTCAGAAGTTTTCTTTAAAAAAATCGAAAAAATCGCGTACACTAAAAGGATTTGAGCATTCATCATTGGAGGTTAAACTCGCAACCTCTGGAACAACCCTGGCAGCATCCCACTATTGGGATGTTTATTTTAAACTTGGTGAAATAAACACTGAAACTGAAATCGGACTGGCTTGTGTAAAAACAATGATTCGTAAATTTAGTCGTGCGCACACTAGTTGTAAAGTCAAACTCGTCTTCGGACCCGTTTTTAACATACTGATCGCATGAATTACATAAAAATACAAAACAATTCTCAAAAAAAAATGTTAGTGAATGGTCACAAAAAGATAGATTTTTAAATCAAATGGTTTTAGCTTAAGCATCAACGCTTCCTGTTTTCAGGTACGAATAAGCTGAGCTTACACAAGATGGTTTTTGTTACTTTTGCAATGAATTATATCCTCTATATTTTTTTATTCATTTTTAAATTCTGAGTACAACCTGATAAACATTAGCCAGTTTTTTGTCTAACCTGTCCATGAGTCCTCCATGTCCCGGCAGCACATCTCCAAAGTCCTTGACCTTGAATGCCCTTTTGAAGCCACTAGCGAAGAAGCCTCCAAAGGGGCCCACGATGGACACGAACAGGGATATAATGAGGGTGTGGCCCAGAAAGGGGAAGAGGAGGAGGGAGTGTCTCTTGGTGATGACATTCAGCAGCGGAATATTAGAGATGTCGTACTCTTGAAGAGTGAACACGTAGTGTCGCTCACATTCGTAGGAGATCTCGTGTGTCGTCTCGTTCAACTGAAACAGAAATAAAACTCCTCAGATTCTTAGTTGCTAACGTTCAAAAAAACAAGCAAAGTAACCTTATTTAACTATCATCGAGCGTGATACAAATAACCTCGAATTAGACATTCTTTTGAAAACTCAACATATTTCGTTCATTCAAAAAATAATCTTGAAAAATGCATGTACGTCTTTAACAGGGACACAATTGCAGTTCTTTTCTCTCGAGAGTAAGCTGTTTTTTTTTCAGATGGTCTTCAACTTGATTCTGCAATATCGTAAAAAACCACCAGGCGCTTACCGAGACTGGGCACACCATGGAGTCATACGCGCAGAGCCATTGAGCCATCTGAAACATGTCAATGATGAAAAAACTTCCAGTTCTTCCGAAGTTTTAAATGAATTTCAATTGGTTTTGTCCTACCGCAACTGCCAGCAACACTGTTGAGAATGCACCTCCAATGAAGCCCTCCCACGTCTTCTTCGGCGAAAGCTGAAAACAGATGTCTTATTGCATATACTCATAAGCCAACAAAAAACGATTGGTATCAATTTAAGCTTATGAAATAACAAACAACGTTTCAACTAAATCGGCAAGCAAGTACATAATAACTCGTTTCAGAAAAAAATATATGTACAAAGTCTTTTGATTTTCGGTCGAGTGACTTTGAGTCATCGAAGCGCAGTAATTCACTGAATCAAATAGCACACAACTTCATCAACAGAGATTCAATAAAAAGAACACAGCCAAATGACAGTTGGAAAAAATAACTGAACGCAAGGTGTCCTGGATCAATACGTAAAATTTTTATTTCGCTGGGAAATCTGATAATTAATTTCCAGTTTCGAGATAATAAGTCGATCACGTATCTCTTGACCTTTAGACTTTTGCTGTTCGATAGTGGAATTTGTTTTCCTTTTAACAATGGAAATGCACTGAACTTAAAAAGAAATCACAAGTCAAACCGCGAAAAATCAAAATAGAGCGTGCACAAAGTTTATGACTTCCTCAAAAAAAAAATCAAGACCTATATAAGAGTACTCACTACGTTCATTACTCTTAAACATGTTCAAGATGACTGACCGCTATGAGTTTGGTCCTGCCAAGGAAGAATCCGAACATGTAGGCCATGATGTCATTGCAGATGACACAGCAGACGGGAAGTAGGAACCAGATCATGCCACTGAATAGGTTGCTCACTATCAGGTGGGACTGTGTGGTGATGACCAGGAGGACGAGGTGTGTGAAGCCGAACATGGTGAACTGGCTGAAGTAGGAGCCCTGGCGAAGCGACAGGATGAACCACACGAATGCTAGAATAAGGCCAAGAAATAGAGAACGAATTGACACCTTTTGTTAGTTTTTGCTAGAGAACGATTTTGTTAGTTTAGCTTTTCTTTGCCATCAATAAAAACATAAAACACGTCATTTTCAAGCGGATTCTCAACTATTTCTGAAGCTTTAAAAACGAGGTTTAAAGAAAACATGTGCACACCTTCGCCCTAAAACTACCAAGTGATCAATCAGATCAAACCCCCCATTACTGGCTAATTTATAAATCTCTTCCCCTAAAGGGAGGGGATTTTATGGGGAGTGTTCATTTGGTCAGCACAAAAACCCGGAGCTTGAATAAGGGAGTTCATATGGGGGATTTATTTGATGTTTGAAAGTTGCGATATGATAGATTTGCTTCCTTCTCACCAGTCAAGTAGAAGCAGTAGGAGACGAAGCTGTGCTTGGACAGGATTGCAGATAGAAGGGTGTTGAGCACACTCTAAACAGTTCAACAGCACATCCATTTACAATCAATCTATATCTCCCTCTCACCCACAGAGCATGATCGGCATGTAGTGAAACAGATTTGAAACTTCATCAGATAATTAAATGGAAGATATTATGACACTGCAATAGTCCCAAACAAATTACCAAGATTCAATCTTTACAAAACATTCGTTCCAATCGCCTAAAAGATCTGCCACATTGAGAGGAAATCAAATTTAGATTGGGATAGATCCCGTCAATGGAATTAGCAGTTAGGATGAGCGCAAAACAGATGAGAAAGCAATCTAATTGTATTGAGTAGACAATATTCATAATTTGACTTTACTCACATTTGGCTGAAAGAATCAGTAAATAAACTTAAAATCAGGCAGGTGTTCTCAAATCACAATTATAAAAACATATATTTTAATTGGATAAAAAACGTGGATTTTCCCTCACCCTTTTCATGAGATAATATTTGAAGAAGTTTGACAAGAAGTCTCCGTACAAGTAGTAGTTGAACGTGAAGAGAAAGTACCAGGAGAGGGTTCTGAACCAGGGCAGGTTGTAAGTCCTGTACACTTTGTATCCTATTGTGATGATCTCATTAAAGCATATTAGCTGAACTGCCAAAATCAGAATTGACAACGGAATGGCTCCTCCATACACAATAACTGCGAAAGCGCCTATTAAGATCCACGTGACAACAAATCGGATCCAGTAGTTTCTGTACTTTTTTGGAATGTTCTGCATAATTTCACTGTTTTCTATTGTATCTTCAGTACTAGGAGCAGGTTTCGGTGCTTCTTGCTTGTCATAATTTTGAAACTCCTCTGGTGTGATTTCATTTTCCTCAGCTGCTTTATGTGCTCCGTCGGCCGACTCTCCACTCCCGGTTGCTCTTCTACGGATTTCAGATTCTGACATATTGCTATTCGCCTGTTGGTGTGAATTCAACAGACAACTAAGAATATCATCACAAAAACCTGAAGCAGTAAATTTACACAAAATTTACACAGGCGAATGAGGTTGGCACAACATGCGATGGAGAAACAACGAACGCTAGAAACACGCATCATAAAATCTGTGACTCAATTCCTAAAAGGCCATGCAAAGAAAACCAAAGCATTATAGACATACTAAAAACAAGGATAGCCGGTTGCTGTGCAAGTAGCATATAATGTTCCGACCAAATTCATGAAAATGGAACAAAAAATGTTTTCAAATAGGAGTCATTTTTGTGCGTGGTATGAGAAAACTGTACGCCTATAAAAATTTAAAAAATAGACATACTCGACAACCGCTGTATTCAAAAAATCATAAAATAAAAAACACCTATAAAACTCAAGAAAAAATAAGTTTTTTTGCGGATTAATTTTTTAAATATTTTTCAGTGCCAAGGAAGCACTAAACGCAACTTCCTAAACTAGTTTTTCCGTAGTTGAACTAAGTTTTTCACTACTTGTATGAAAAATTTTAATTTCGAAATTAGACTTAACCTCGAAATTAGACTAAAACTCAAAAAAATATAAAACGATTTTTATCAACACTAAGACATGTTTTGCGATTCATGACTGAAAGGGGTTTAACATAGTGAATCACTCGACCCATTCCGATTTTTAGGCAGTACCTAATTTTCCGTAAAAACGATTAAAAAAAACAAAAACACCCGAGACAGAATTTTGAATGGTCAGAACCAATACGATCCCAACTATTCCCAAATATCCCAACTATTTTCAGTTGAGTGGTGGAAACAAACTTATTTCAGTGCGGAAAAAAATTTTGGAAGTTTTATCCAGCGTTTCCTTACCGATGAAAAAATTTTCAACAATCAAAAATTCATTCTGCAAAAACCTTTGTTTTATTTTTTTCTGAAGTTTTTTAAGGTAGTTCTGTTTGTTATTCATTTACCGAAGACAACTGTTGTCGAGCATACAAAACTTATTGTCCTCGAAAAACTAACACAGAGACAAAGCTGAGCTTTGCACCACTTGCGATCCAAAAAGTATAGGTTTAAAGCAGCATGACGCTGAAGAAATAGCGAAGATGACATCGAACGAAGAAAAAACTAAAAAAGGAACTAGAAAAACGAAAATAGGAAGAATTTTCATGATTAATTTTAACTGACTTTATTTGAGGAGTTTCTTGCGAGGTTGATTATAAGCATTCTAAAATATGAGCCAGAATCTTATCGACCTTAAACATAAATCTAAAAATTTGTAGGAAACAAATAATTAGGTAGAAAAGACGACATGAGGCGGAAAACCAAGAAGCTGAAAATCAACCAAAATGTACTGCTCATATAGTGTCCCCTGATGCTTTATACATATTGAATGCAAGCTGTTATGCTCAATTCGGAAACTAAAAGTCGACAAGCATAGGGTTTAAGTCGACAACCCAAAGCTGAAAACTTGCATTACAACACAAACATAGCACAAAAAACTAGCTGACAGATAATGAGACGAAAGACGCTCGGTCAAAAACAAGTTTGTGAAAATGTGAATGTCGAGACAAACTAAATCTACCAACATTTTCATATTTTTGTATCAATTTTTCTGGAATAAACAATAATTTTTACACAGCGGCAAAGCGGAGCTTCGCACCACTCGCGATAAAACGCAAGCGCATCATTCCAAGCTAGCGAATAGAAAATGATACGAAATGAAAAAATGGAAACTGAAATATTTTAAAAAAACAGTCGGAAAACACAACCATTGATATTTTAAGAATTTAGTACTTATCAAGCGGCACCTAAGCCAAAGACAAGTGGAAAGAAATCAAGTGATCCGAAAACAAAACAAATGCCATAAAATTGTTGTCATTAAAAAAATTTTGAGCAATTGAATTTTAAAATTTTGAAACCTTGCAACAAAAACTACCGGAACAAAATAAGGTAACTCGGCCGACAAAAATAACCAGTTAGCATTTAGGCGGAACAAAGCTTTCAAGCGAAAAAAGAAAACGGAAAAACCATGAAAATAAACCACGAAGAAGTATTTATTTTACAGATGACAGAAAAAAAGCCAGAAAATGCTGACAGCACAAAAAAATCCCCGATGTGCAACTCAGCCGACAAAACATAAGCAGAAAAACGAATCTCCGACACTTCATATTTCTGCGTTACCTTTATGCCAAGTGGGAAAATGTCTCGAAGTTTCTAAGGTTAACTAATAAGGCAACTTCAAATTATCTGAGAAATGTGTACGAAAAGTTGCTTACGGGAAAAAAGTCTTGTAACCGATTTGCCAAATAAAACAACTGAATTTTACGTTTGCATCGAAAAAGTTAAGTAGCGGTAACAAGCCGACAATGCTAACTACAACAGCGGCGGAGACAAAGTTCAATGGTCGGAACAAATACGATCAAAAGAATGCAATTATTTCAAAAAACAATTAAACATGCGATTATAAGAACTGTTTGAAATTTGGCCAAAGAAGATTTTAAAAAAGACTTAGCAGCGAATTGATGCAATTAGACGAGCATCTCTCAGGAGAAGCATCATAAAAATAAAAATTCGAACGCAAAAAATTCTAGCTACCACGTTGCAACACGCATGCTCATAGCAAGGGTATCAAAAATATTGTAAGATATGGTCGATTGAATAATAGCTTTTGAAGTAGAGCAAAACATTTTAATTTCAATAGTTTCATTTCGTTTGTAGGTATCAAAAAATCTATATAATTTTTGTGAAAAAAACACATATTTCAAAAACAATAAGAAACTTAAAAAGGAATGCGTTCAGTCCCAAAAATAACTCTACTTTATTTTTGGGTGAAATTACTTTCAAGATTCTTCGGTTTCGAGTCTCTTTATAACTTCAAGAAGTCCCCTGCGGCCTTTATGGATGTTCTTCTGGTTCGAATCGAGAATCATTTTTTCGAAGTATTCGGTTAAACCACCAGGAATGTGAGGCAATTCGACGGAAAAGGTTTGGCTCAGTTCAGTTTTCGAGGTATCATTTGGAAGTTGAGAGTACACTAGCATTTCTTTTATTTTGATAATGCTCGAAAATGAAACATTCTCTGACACATGAGTAAATATTTTCCGCTGAGGAAAAACGCCAAATGCTTCGTGAACCAATGCGTCTCTGTTGATTCCAGCAAATCTTAATATCCAGCCGGGAACATTCCATTTGGTTCCCATTAGTCTATAAATAAATAAACTTTCGGATTTATCCATTCGTTCGAGCTGACTTTCAAAAGCATTTTGAACAGCTAAGGTATCAATTGACTCGACGCGATCATTTTGCGAGTTTGGGTACTTTTGAAGCACTGCTTTAACCACTGCCTCCCATTCATGGTGTATGAGAAAGGTAGATGTGAAACTCCTCATCACAACCAGAGGAGAACTAGAGATGAATAAACTGCCATCTGCAGTCTGAAACTTTTATCAAAATAACAAAAATGCCCTTAAAGGCTTCGAGGGAAACGCAGAGGCAAAAGGTCAAAAGTGATTCTAAAAATGATGATTATGACAAACTGCGTTACGGATCACAACTTGAAATCATGAAACACCAGAAGACAAAATGTTTAATTTTGAAGTTTTTTTTTCTTAAAACCATAGTTGCCAGATTAAGAAACAAAGCCTTGATTTACGCAAACAGAGAAAAACAGATTTACACAAACAAAAATTTTTTGAGATAATTTTAGTGTTCATAAACAGTGCAGATCTGAACTTTGTTGTCTGTAAGTTAATAAATTCTTGTGTTCGATACAGTGATGCGGTGGGACATTCAAGTCAATATTCATTAATAGATAGCATTTCAGTCAACATGGGTAGTTAATAAAAACTTCTAATAAAACCCCACCAAGCTTTGTTTACAACACAAAAACGTATCCTCAGTGGACAGCGGAAATCGCAGCACGGCGAAATCTCATACTTGATAAGATAAAACAATCTGGCTATTTCCTCGTCTTTGCCACAAAATCATGGTACTTCTAGCGTCAACATTAAAAAGTATCCGACGATCTCGCAGTCACAACTTCAAACCCAGAGGTGAAATTCGACCAGAATGACCTGAAATTCATGTCATCATCGTATTTCTATTGGAACAGTTCAGTGGGAAAATTTAATGTTTGGGACGATTAACAGTGTTAATCGTTCATTTGAGAATGCGTTAAAATTGTAAACTCAAACAAACGTTTTCGCACATTTTTGTCCATCTTCAGGTTTTAAAAACCAAATCTATCTGCTCAAAATGATCAAAGATCATAAAAAAAGTCATACACTTCATTATTTCAAAACATAAAAAAATTAACCAATCAACACTTCACATTTACTATTAAAATTTAACAACTATTATGTAACAATTTTATTCATTTAGTCAAAAACTTCAGAGTTTTCAACTTTTTTATTTTTAAAATGTCGTTTTGTTGCTAAGTTCATGCTAATATGTAAGTTAATTCAGCGTTTTAAAAATTTACATCTAAATATTTTGTTAATGCGTTAAAATTCTAAATTCAAACAAACGTTATCGCACAATTTTGTGCATCTTTAGGTTTTAAAAACCTAAGCTATCTGTACAAAATTATGAAAGATAAATAATGTAATGTAAATTGGTAAATTGTACGTCTTACAAAGACAAATATGAAAAGTATAATTAGAGTGCTCATGGAATATGTTAAGAGTCAGTCAAGTCAAGAGTCTTGGCACGTAGAAGCGCGATGTCACAGTTGCTTGGGCGGCAACCTGATATTGATGAGTCTTCCAGGTAGATCCTGGCTTTCTGGAAAGGAGATGCAGTGTCGTATGTGATCCTCATCAACGATCTGGAGCCTACAAAGTCGGCAGACACAGTCCATATACGCTGTAAACCCTTTTTCCTGTACAATATCATGTATTTCGCGTTTATAACAGCCAATTTTAGTGCATATAATATTATGACATCCCGAGGTGTAGTATACCGCAAAGATACGTCTATGTCGCGTGTTGGCCTGCCTCAGGCCAAGGTAATCGTTGAAGTATAGGTTCTCAAGAAAGAGT